GACAGAGTGGGGCTATATATATGTGATGTACCAGCTTTTGTCCGGAATAAATAGATTGGTGAAGAATCATAGACGTAGTCGAAGCTCAAAGTATCAGACGATAAGTTTAAAAAACAGGATCTATTTATTATTATTCAGGAGAAATAGCAGTTACAAAAATCAGATCTCCGAAGTAAATAAAAACGAACTACTAATAACTTTTTGTATGAAGTTTACTGCATCGTTACATTAAAGAAAAGACCCCGATATTCCTTTGCGAGTCCTTTTATAGCCTCTGGAAAGACGGAGCTTCCAAGAAATGATGTCAGCCTCGTCAGCCATTCCAATTCGCTTTAAATATCTCCAGAACATTGTATAACTGTACGTGTAGAAAAGGCGGGAAAAGCAACTTGACTACGGGGCTGTGGATTTAATTCCACGTACTTTCAAATAAGAGATCGTCGGCATTAAAAATGAAAAGAACATAAAGTTAGAATTTTAAGTGCATTTTTGACTATTATTATTATAATATATATATATATATAAATTTTTATTATTATTAATACATATATTTATATATTTTTGGTGCGGCCGATTGCAACCAAAAACGGAGGTGCACATCTACATGTTATAGCAGTCCCACATACAAAATTGCACCGTTCTGAGGCTATTCCTTTTTGAGTTATGCGAGATACATACATACATTTATACGTATGTACATGCAGACGCCACAAAAAAATTCCTTTTGAATCCATTTTAAATCAGTTTTATAATTCATATGGGGGAAAAGAGTCCTTTATTCTGTATTTAAGTACAGATGTCACGCAAAAGCATCGTTAAATTGCATTCGATAAAGGTCAAAATGGATATTTTCGTTGAAATATGACACCCGGAATTTTTCATTATTACAATATCTGCTTTACTTCGTAAAAAGAAGTAAAAATTATTTTCATTCAAGTTTTTAATATCTATACATTTTCTATACTTTTTTGCATTAAAAAATAATCTAAATTTAAATAAATGTGTATGTATTTTTCGAGTTTTGGAGAGTTGAGGAATGATCATCTTGCAATGGTGAAAGGAGCGCATGGACAGAAAAGTTTGAGAAACACTGACTTAGGTCTTAATTTGTAGAAATAGCTCTGCAGAAACCTTTTTTCTGGAACTCATTGCTATACAGTAAACAAATTAAAATGAATTTCAGCCTGTTTTCAAGGTCTCGACTTCCACAAGAGAAATACCCGAAAAGAGTTTTAAAACTAATTAGCTTATAGGAGAACAGACATCGAAATATTCAATTCTGTCTCTTTCTGACAATCGAAACCAAAATGCAACCAAAAAATTTCAGCAACTTTTCTCATTCAGCCTTCAGTCCAACTAACAGGCTGTCTGCTTGAAAGTTTTTGTCTTGTAAAATTTATACTAGTTCCTTTTAGAAATTCCTTCGGCAAATAGCCTTCGTGCGTTTAACTCAATCTAATCCAATTCAGTTACTCAGCCATCGATTTCTGTGCAACTAATCAACTAGTGGTCTGTAAAATGAATTAAATGAGAAATGCATAAGTGTTTAGGTTATTCAAATATGGGAAAGCACAAGAGGACTGTTTTCCAAAAATAAGGAACGTCTTCATGGAGCATTTTCGAAGGTAAAAATGGCTTAAGTTGCACATGAGGAAAATCACCAAAACCAACCATGCAGGCAACCCCTCTGTCTGGTATAAGCTGGGGTCGAAGGGTCTTAATCATGGTATTCAACGGTCTTAAACACACAAAATGTGTGAAAAAGTTTTATTTAAATTTTTCTAGATATTAAATTTATTTCCTTCTATATATTTAATTTCATTCAAGGGTCTCACTGCTGTGCCTGTAAGTTCAGATGGTTGAAAAAATAGAGCATGTCGAGGGAATAAATGAATGATTTTGCAAAAATGAAACTAGTTAGAGGCAAATTTAATAAATCAGGATTTGCTATTATTTAATTATGTCAATTTTTATCGATAACTTTATCAGTCATAACCAACTTGAATATTACCTTAATTACCAAAAAATGCGACCTAATGGGAGAAAAAATTAGGACCTGAAGGAATTAAATGAACAGAAAGCAGAAGAACTTCAAATATACCTTTTAAAAAATTCTATAGTCGAACACTTTTGCTTATAAAATTTCCGATATAAATATACGTTTTAATGCTAGACAATAAATTTTTGTGTTGGAGAAGGACTTATTTATTTATTTATTGCAAATTTTTAAATAATTCCTATTTATGAGCAAAGTAAGTTATGCTGTACTAATAACATGATTTGTATATTTATCTGTTATGTTGTCTGTCTACGAATCTGTCACCAGTGATTTATTCATTTCTTAAAAATAATAAATAACAATAATTATGATAAAGAAACCTTAGATTGGTGTCAATTTCAATTAAAATTCTGTACAAAATCCGTTAATCTAGAGCTTCCTCTTTATATTTTGCATGTTTCCTTTTAATTTTTGTAATTTACACGACATGCTTCTTTTCTTTGTATTTATTTATCTCAGAATATACCCGGTGAAAGGAAAATCTCATAAAATTTTTATCTCTGAAAGCTCTAAATCTTGATTAAAAAACGATTTATGCCGGGAATAAGGCTCCAGTTTTCGCTCTCCTTAAACGTTTTTGACATTAAAATAGAGAAACAAACAAAAGAGAGAGTTCAAAATTGTTCTTGTGAAAACCATTTGCGTTATATTATTGCGTTTTTCACCTTGGTACACTATAAGAACGTACTTATATTTTAATAATTAATCTAGCATCTACCAAAACAATTATAAGTGAGAAGATTATAAGTTTATTTTTTTATTTTTTTTAGAGTGTTGTAAATCACAGGGAATGGGAGGCCAGACATTTTTTTTTTCCGAGAGAGACCACGAACTCTGCCTAAGCCACTGGGTTTCAAGAGATTTGTTTATTTCTCAGTCTACAGTACGAAAGGTTCTGCGATTCATTTGTAAGTAGTCTCAAGAGTTGCATCGACATATTGGTCTTTCTTGCCGTTTTTTGGTGAAAACAGCCGTTAACAATGCAAGATCTTGGGACATTTGTGTTAAAAAGAGGCCCATTTTTTCCCTAGACGGAGTACTGAATATTCAGAATTGTCATATATGGTATAAAGTAAATCACAATGGTGTGCATGCACAAACTCCTCATTTTGATTATGTGACTGTATGGTGTGGTTTCACTGCTGACTTCATTCTTGGCATCTTTTTACTTTGAGAACAATACTCTTCAAAACCGCATAAGGTATATCGTCACAAATGCCCGTTATAGCAAACTTCTGCAGTAGCATGTTATTCCCGCCTGGCATGAACGAGAAAGTTTAGGGAGCGCTGTTTTAAAAGATGGTCCAATCTCCATATTGCAGACAAGTGAACGAACTGCTTTGCAATCACTTTAGAGACAATTAATGTCTAAAATTTAAATTTCGTGAATTTTACTGAATGCTTGTCCTTCTCATTCACCGGAAGCCCACCAACGGCCGAGCGGTAAAGTCGCTGAACACTGGTAGTTCGGTTCGAGGTTCGAATCCCGCGAATGGGCTGGCTGCATGGGCGTTTTCGTGGTTTTCCCTATGTGTAACGTGTATACGAGCCAGTTCCATTAGAAAGTCTTCCACGAAGGCATTCCTCCCCTTAGGCAGATAGCCCTCGAGGCTTTGTCATAATCACACACACACATTCACCGGACTTAATGCTCCGTGGGTTTTGGTTGGGGGGATTCCTAACAGTCTCTATCTTTATTCTCCGTTAATGAAGAAAACATATGGACTCTGTCTGAATTCAAAATAAACATGGCACCAGATTTCCCCAATTTTTCAAGAAACCATTAACACCACTGCTTAATGTGTTATAATGTGCTTTGAACACATGATTAACACAAATGAGGGTACTTCTTTGTTACAGCGTCCCCCGAGACTGAATCGCTAATCAACCGAGATATCTTACCAAAATCTGGCCTCGTGCCCTTATACTTCGCCAGATGATCGTATAATAACACCGGGGAAGAATTCTTAAACTTCGTAATCATATATTAGCATCGTGTTGCATGTTTTCCCTCGCCGCGTTGTTCTTATATTGTTAATTTTTAATGAGGTTTCGAACTCGCGTTGTTTATTTAAAAATATATCCATTCTTTTTTTTTGGTAAATATAACGTTAACGATCTCTAATTTACCAAGTAATGAGATGGATGCCATATCTGTTTTCAAAGAAGAGGTCTTTTACCTGATGTAAAAATGGCCCCAGCATCAAACTTTATGTTAACGACCAAACCATTTGGAGGTGTAATGTTAAAAATTTCAAAATGAAGAAGGGCTTCCATACTGCAAATTGCTTCAGTGTTTTCAGAATATAATTTGTCACTCTATTAGATTTATGTATTCTTGGGCAGAGGAGTTAACGTCCATGAAATTGTGTAATAAACTGCTTAATATGTGTGAAAGTGCTGCAGTTGAATGGAACAGTTACATGTGATAAAATAATAAGGATAAGGTTTCTTAAAAATATTTTTAGGAAAGGACATTGAGAGTATCATTGTTATTATTACATATTGTGTTGTTTTATTTTAACATTCGTGCTTCACGTACTTGGCGAAATAATAGCTGATATCTTGACACAAATCTAAAATAGCCAAATATGGTTGATGGCCGCTATAACAAAGAAACACTCAAATGAGATGCACACTGAACAAGTGCCGTAACGATATTAAAATTTCATGTTTCCAGTTTGTATTTCTTGCTTTTTATGTTCGCATTATTTCACTTAGAAATCAAAATTTTAACTACTATTTTTATTGCAGTTTCCTTTTTAACATACTATATACCAATTTTCAATAAAATATGCGCTCCACATAGATCTGAGTTGGATCAATTTAATTTCAACGGCCCTGTACTTTGTGGCAGACCAAGCCTAAAGCCATATTATTTATTTATTTATTTATTTATTTGTTTATTTATTTATCGTTATCTGTGCATTTTTTTCCCTAGAAAGAAGCAAGAAATGAAGAAATGCTTTGATAGTACTCTTTCACCTTGTTCTAGAAGGGAGCAACATATTATACGTCAAGAACATAAAGGAGGACTACGACTGTTAGAGGAATTATGTGATAGAAATTCAGCTGCTCGCAAGGGTAAATTTTAAGAATAATTTTATTTGAGAAGTAGAATGTGTACTTTTAAATCTAAATCTTTTAATATTTATTACGATGCAAATATTTTCATGGATTTGTATATATTTAGCTATTTTTAGTAGAATTTGTAATTAAAATTATTTTATATTCCCGTTCAATGCAGCACGAGATACACCATAAGATTTATCGTCTGCTTTTAGAAATTGATCCTTGTTTAACAAAATATATTCAAAATACTTGTCTGAAGTGAACATGGCAAGACAATACAAATTAACGACAAGTTCTGTTAGAAATTTAAAAAAAAAAGAAAAACATTTTTAGCTTAAGTTCATTTTAACGTTAGTAAATGGTTTCGAAAAAAATTTCGAAGTATCCAAAATATCCTTGACATAAAGCGTTTAATTATTTTTAATGTTATTATAACGCCCAAACCTGCGTTGAGCTGCTGAAAATGCACTGAAGTCTGGAAGGCGTTCCATGAAAACACGAAGGAATGGGTTTTCCCATTTCTTCGCCTCTTCTACATCGTGAAATAATTCTTCATCCAATAAAAAAAAAAAAAAAAATCATACAAAACCAGGCACAAAACCAAGTGCTGTAAAACCCTCAGGGGATTTAGAAGAATAGTTTTCAATGAAAGTTAATCCTGAAAACGTTTGAAAAGTCATTAGAATAAATGGGTACAGTGGGCGATCAGGGAGAAGGAAATTCCTCGTCAGCAAGAAAACAAGGAAAATATGCCTGTATTTGCGAGGTAAGCAAATATTTATCATATTGGAACAATGTTTGAAGATAAATTTAATATATTAGGATCCGATGGACGACTGCTGGCCTCTGTGATGGAAAATTTTGTTTTTGTAGAAAATAATACTTCTCAACATAAATTCATAAACAATATTAATGAAAACCTGAAAGCATGGGAACTCTGAATGTAATGCCATTCAAAATCTATCAGGATTTCAGTCCTAAACACACAGCCCTAAATGTTCGCTTGTGATTATTATACAACTGTCCTGAAGTGATCATATTTTCTCCATATTCTACGGGCTTAAATTTTATTGAACATTCATGAAGAAAAGAATAAGGAAGCATGGTATTTCTTCGAATGTTCTACTAAAAGCAACTCTTCCTGAGAAACGGAATATTTTTACATAAACAATTTAGCTGAATCCATGCCAAAGCACGTAAAATACGTAATTTCATCCATAGGCTATTCAAATATTCAAATGTCCGATATTTTCCTATTTTTGTTAAATATAAACTGTTTGCTCAAAGTGTCCGAATGCTTGCGTGAGTTAAATTTCAGAATTTTGTGAATAAGTTTTTTTTTATCACCAAAAATATTTTGAAAAACTTAAAGCAAACATGTTTGAAAACAATAATCAGTAGTAGAGGTCTAAGAAAATTAGTCATTTCGCATATATTTAGTAACTGGTATTTGCAAATAAAACTAAAATACACAAGTATTCGAAAACAAATATGAAACACTGCAAAATCCATTCGCCTTTATTTTCTAGGAAATTTTTATAAAATTTTCTACTGTGGTAATTCATGTAGGAAATTTATCTTATCCGGAGTTAATTTGTCTGGGGATTTTGAAACAGATTTCACTTAATAGTTTTACAATAATATTTTTCATTTGCAAACCAATTTCAGTATTCTAGTGTGAATATAATTCTAATTTATTTTGTTTATGTTTCGTTATTAATAAATGTTGCCACAGAAATATTGTAGCATATACAGCTCATAATTGGGTTTAAATTTAATTTATCCATTATTAGCGAATTAAAACAAAAAAGTTTCCAAGCTTATAAAAAAGTACTGCAACTACGCATTCTTTTTCGCCACTTCTCCTTTCTGCTGGCAACGTATCGCTTAGCATCTGTTAGCTATTCTCTATTATTTAAAATGTCATTGCTTACCTAAAACTGTGGGGCGCTTTTATCACACATAGTATTCTACCAATTAAGAAGATAAGTGTTAAGAAATTCGTCCTCCAAAAAAAATTATGGTTAACTACTAAGCTGGTCGTGCTTCTTCCGAAATTTCATTCCGTCATCCACTACCCCGTAGTTTCCATCAGTTATCTACATAGCAGTTTTTCCGGCCATGACTAGATTGTACTATTCCTGTCCAGTAATACTGAGGAGACAACAAATTTAACATTGAGGAGACACTAATGTGCCCTAATTCAATATGAACGTTTTCAAATAATTTAGTACGAAGAGATATTGGAGTTACAATTTTATACACTCATTGCTTCTCTATAGTTAGCACATCATTAATTTTCTTATGCTTAGGGTTACAGGCTTTGTTTAAATTTTGATGATCTGTAGTTTCTTCTAACGATAATAATAAAAATTAATAAAAATTAATTGTGTGTAGTAGTAGTAGTAGTACTTATTGCTGTTTATGGGCAGGGGAATGTTACTGGTAAAAAAATACTATTCTTGAGTCAGTTCATGACGACTGCTAACTCTCCTAATAATAAAAAGAAATTAAATTTAAATTTGGTTATTAGGAATATTCCTAGGCGGACAGCGGGCGTATGCTATCCTTGTATCCTCCCTAAGGACAGGATGCAAGTATAAGTTACACTACGCGTATTACTCCTTGCATCCTCCCCTTGTAGCCAATACGCGTAGTGTAAAAACTCTAGTAGAGACAGTACTTTATAGTAGAGATAAATGTCGTCTTTATAAAATTTGGTATGGGAAAAATAAATGATATTTAACTACCAAGCTCGTCTTGCTTCTTTCAAAATTCCATCAGGTCATCTATACAGCAGTCATTTTGGCCATGACTAGAAAGTCAGTTGTTTTCATCTTCTGTAAAAATTACTACTTTACATATGTATATTTTAAATCGCGTTTTCCACGCATAAAAAATATAAGTTCAATTTTGTCGATCTGCCAACTAGAAAAGGAGATGTGTGTTCCTTTTTTTTTTTTTTTTTTTTTTTTGTATTGGCCGTTTAAAATATTATATACACTCAAACCAGTTTTTGTGCGACGGATAAGGATCGCATAGAAGAAAACGCATAAAAAATCGCATAAAACTAGTTATAAAATATACTTTTCGCAACACAATTAAAAAGTATATTTTTATGCGATGAATAGGGACCCATAAAAGAAGTTTCACTTCGAAAATAACTCAAAATCTTACGAAATAATTATTAATTTGTGTTTTAAATGAAATCAAGACACGAGGCTCAAGGAAGCTACTTGGAATCTCACCAAACTTTTTAGGATCTTATTTAGAAAATAGACATGCGAACATTTTAAAATATTTTATTTACATATGTACTTATTTTACACATACAAAACTTTTCAAAACGTATAACCATTATTCTTCGTAGTCTGACAATACGCGAACTTTCTTGTAGTAAACTGGTTCAAAATCGCTTTCATCACTTCAAGATACTACTTCGCACTCGCTTAGAGTTGACTTTTTCAGTTACAATGTAGTCGGTGATCAGTTTTTGTGACGACTGTTGTTTCACTAGATGCTTGTATATGTCTTGGTAGCCAGATATACAAGATAGAAGCTCCTTTTGGAATTTTGAAGTTCCTTCAGAGTTGGCATCGATTACAAGAAAATGACATTCTAATTTATGGCAAAGTTAGTGTCCCGCATAGATTTTATCTGCTGTCATATAATCGTATAATTATGTTCCATTTTGATAGAAATTTTCTTAACCCGCACAAAAAAGTACAGCACAAATAAAAAATCGCATGAAAAAGACCGCACAAAAACAGAATTGAGTGTATACACCGTTCCGCAAAAGTCCTTGCCACGTCTTTATTTTCGCAGTCATTGGTCACAGGTATATAGTTACGAAAAGATTGTAAATGACTCAAAGATATATGCTTTTGTATTTCTGAATTAAAAAAAAATATTATATAAAATATGAAGCGTAATTTTTTAACGCTTTTTCTGTCCTTGTGCTTTAGGAATATTTTGTACACATTATAAAAAATAAAACATGGAAAGTTTTATCTTGACAAAAATTGGTTGAGATATTTAATGCCAAAATTTGAGATATTTGACGGTTAATAAACAAATTAAAATAATTCGATATTCATTTTTCCTCCTTAAATTCTATTCAATGTAATTCTTTGGTGATTTACTAGTGTGGTTGTTTATAATTTTGTTACATTTTTTATGCCGAGATAATTTTGACGCAAGTAATTTTTGAGTTTCCAAATGTAAAAATATGTTATTATTATTCGCATAAAATTTTATGGCTTAGTAGTCATATTGTAATGGTTATGCAAAAACCTCATACTGAAGTCTGCTAGTGTTTTCTAGGACGAGAATTCTTTAAGATTCTGTGAATAAGATGTTAAAAAGTATCGAACAGTATTTTCACAATAATATAATAATATACATAAAAATGCTTGCCATGAGATCTCTCAACATCAGAAACATTTTCCTAAACGATATTTTATTTTTAATTATGCACAAATGAAAACATTTCTTTGAATTTGTATGCAGCCTGTAAACATGATTTCCGATTTTAATATCAAATATCTTGGTCAATTTTTGTCGTAAGGAAGTCAAACCTTTTGTGTTTGATTTTTTTAATAACGACTGTAAAAGTTTTCTAAATATAAGTATAAGGACCAGAGAAATGTGGGAAATACTAGATTTCGTATTTTATATAATTTTTTTTTAAATTTAAAAACATAAAAAGAGGAATCAGCGTTATTTAAAATAATTCTGTATTTGGAAGCATATGATCACAACCAATGACAGAGAAAATAAAGGCCAGGTAAAGACTTTTGGGGGGTCGGTTACAGTGCTTGTATTAATATTTTAAACTTAGAACTGACGTATGTATATTTCCATGCTCTTGCAGGCTTAGTGGCGCATTCAAACTGTATAAATGAAGAACGTGAGATGGTGACACAATGCGACCGTGAATACGCTCATAAGGTACGGTCTCAAAATGAATCCTTATCTGAAGAAGAAAACAGGAAGAGATGCTGGTAAGTTTATTTTGCATTCATAGAGTTATGAAATAACCACTTCTGTAACCTATATATACTGAACTCTTACACTTAATATGTTAGCGCAACCACCTTGGTGCAGTTTTTTACAAAACAAAATGAACGATGACTTATAATTGCATAAAATGTTATTTATTAGAACATACGCTGCTATCCAAATTTTACATTTCAGGCGGTGTTTCTGTTTGCCTTTCTCTAACTGAAATTTCGTGGCTATTGCTTTTAAGAATAAATTAGATGCAAATATATCCTTTAACAATTCTGTGCAAAATACTGTATTACTGCAGAAATTTGACCACGATATCTGCTATTGCAGGCAATTGCATCCACAGCATATTTTGAAATTAGCTTGAAGAAAAAAGGTATCTGGATTTGTATATAAAAACCGTTGCAACTTTTAGGAAAACTAAAAGAACGTATAAGAAAATGGTGACGTTGCTTTTTAAAACTGAAGAACCGTTATTCTCATGGTTGCCAGAGTTTGGCTCGTTCTGGAACTTTTGGTGACTTCTATAAAAGTAGCTGCTCTAATACATAAATACTGTACCTCTATTATAACTTCGTCTTAAGCTGAACACGTTTTCCCGGTGAAAGCTATCGAGTATGGTAGGACTTCAATTATATAACTAGAAATTTAAAAACTTAACTATTCGGATCCATTATTCTTTCCCGGCCAAGTAAAATTTAGTTTTTCCCCTTTGATCTAAATAGTATTAAAAGTTTATACTCTACAATGCATATTTTTAAAGAAACCATCAAATTAATTTCATTGATTTTTTATTAACTGAAATAAAATGAAATTTGTGTTTAGAAACAAAAAACGAGTTAGTTTCTCGTTAAATCTATTATGATATTTGAAACTGGAATATTTCTGACTGCGCTATCAAATTTGCAAATTTGGCGACTTATCGTGGTGACCATATTATGAAGGAAAAAATGATTTCGTTGTTTAATGTTCAATGTTGGTTTTAGGGAAATCAATGCATTTCTTATTTTTTAGTGCATTACTAACGTTGACATTACTAACGTTGTTTAACATACACTGGTTATCATAAATTAAGGAAAAATCACAAAAATAGGGATAACTCCGTCAAAAATAAGCCAAACCGTGTAAAATTAGAATATGTTGCCAAGTAAGAGTAGCTGAATAAAACTGCAATATGCAAATTAGTGGCGCTGCACTCGGAATACGTCATCTGCGAGGAGAATAAAAGTCCATGTTTGAGAGCAAGCCCACAATTTCAATGTGATAGTGACATCAGAAATCTGAGATAGCCAATTCGCTACAATGATCCTGATCTCCAGGCATCATTTGCCTGCAGAACTACGATGGAGAGCCATTGGGAGACTAGAGGCCGGATAAAGTCAAACAGAAGTGGCCATATGTCTAAATGTGAATCCTTCTATGGTTCATAGACTTTGGAGGCGATTTCAAACCCCAGATTCGGCATCTAGGAGGTTCAGCCAAGGACGGCCAACTGCTACAACGAGCGCGGATGGCCGACGTTTGACATTATGTGCACGCAGGAATAGAACCGCTACTCCGACTGTTCTTAGATAATCCCTTGCTGCAGCCACCAGAAGGTTGGTGTCAACGTCAACTGTGCGTAGAAGGCTTCAGGAAGGTGGTCTGTATGCGAGGCGACCAGCCATTTGCGTGCCGCTCACGTCACGCCATAGGAGGGACCGTTTGCAGTAGGCACGACGACATGTCTACTGGACGCCTGATCAGTGGAGGGATGTTCTCTTTACGGATTAGTCTAGGTTTAGTCTAGAAAGCGATAGTAGGCGTTATTTGATACGGAGAGAACCTGGAACCCGTTACCATCCGTCAAACCTCCGTGAAAGAGATGTTTACGGAAGAGGCAGTGTCTGTGTTTGGGGTGGCATCTCTTTAGGTGTACGCACAGACCTTCATGTCTTTCCAACAAAAATCGTGAATGCTCCGGTTTATAGAGATGACATCCTTTGATGCTTATCTGTGCGCCCATGTGCCGGGCAATAGGTGATGCTTTCCTGTTACAGGACGATAACTCAAGACCACACAGGGCTCGCATCAGTAGATGATTATCTTCAACAGGAAGCAATTATGCGCATGGAGTGGCCAGCTCGATCCCCGGACTTGAATCCTATCGAGCAACCGTTTGGGATATGATTTAGAGAGACGTCTAGTTGCTGTTCTCAATCTGCCCCCTCAGACCCTTGCCGCCCTTGCCGCCCTTGCAACAGCTTTGCAAGAGCAATGGCTCTCGCTTCCTATGGAACTGATATACCGCATAATTGAAAGCATCACGCATCGCTGTATGTGCTGTAATGCTTCTAGAGGCAACCATATTCCATATTGAAGGTACTTTTCCTATAGCAAACCGAAACCTTCGATTTGTTCATTTTATACATGTGCTAATTTCTATACTATAATTTTCTGGTAATTTCTTTTTATGTTATTTAATACCTTACTATGTGTTGTATATTGTGGGTACGTTTCATAAAATTCTACATGTAACTTTTTCAGTAATCGTGATTTTTGTGATTTTTCCTTAATTTATGATAACAATGCAAAGCACAAAGTATAATGCAAAGCACAAAGCCTTTTCACATTAGGAAAAATACCTTAGCAAAGGACTTAAAGAAAACATGCTTGTATTTCTGTTAGTATGAAGAACACTGTGCATCCAGTTTGTTCATTCTGAATCAAATAATTTTCAAGCTATCCCATCACAGATAATAGTAAGCGCGTTCTAGTTAATTACAGTGAACGAAAAATAAATTCATAATTTTTTTTTTTTTTTTTTTTTTTTTTTTTTTTTTTTAGAAAGAGAACAACGTCAGGACTTTTTGAGCTTATCTGTGGTAGTAATAACTTGGGAATTATGTTGCATTCACTTAGCATATAAATAAAAATTATATACACAGAGCTACAGCAGTGACGTTCATAAATCATTTCTAGGCATTTCGGTTGAAAATTTATGTGAGTAAAAAACATCTCGCAAAACAAAAAACATAATGTACTAGTAAACCTTCTATTTTTTAACGAATTAAATAAGCGAGCGCATGGAACTCGTTACGTTATGATACACATAGGAATGAGAATGGGAGAATTAGAGCAGAGAACAAATCCAGCTTTAAAGTTCTATATACATTTTGAAGCTTAGCGATACGATTTAACAACCATTAAACGAAATTAAATAATAAATAAATAATAAAGATTAAACAAAGGTGGATCAATTAAAATATAACTCAAACTTTGCGCAACAATGAGCAGTAAAGTTAAAAAACATGAACTCATAAAATTAATCAAAAACAGCTGTATACAATGTTTCGATTGAAACTATTGTCCAAAATTTATCCTTTAAACATTAATATACATATAATATATTTATACAGTATTTTAAACAAAATTGAAATTTTGGCGGAGAAACCTTACCTTTGCTTAACTAAAATGTAATAATAAATTGCAACACAATTACTGCTAAACAAGGAAAATTCTCTTTTTCTAGCAAATAGGGCAAAATATGTCTACACTATTTTACGTTGTGGGAGAAAGGTAGAGAAAAGTGAATCCATTTTACCTTATCAAAGCTTTGATTGCGTCCACAACACTCATTCGCCTGTTCTTATATAAGATAGAACAAGGCGAAACAGAGGTAAATATCCTATAATACGTGTATGCTTATGTGAGTGAAAACATTGTCACTTACATTTGGTATATACGTTTATTCGTAATATCCATGCGATACATTCCCGAAAATTTCAACTATGGTTTGGTTTTTATATATTGTTGCAAAATTGAACTTTATGAAAGTTCAAGCAAAAAAAAGAAAAAAAAAAAGAATTTAATGTTTAATCAAGCTGCTGTTCAAACAGAAAGAGAAACAGATTAACGTAAATTTTAAATCATAGGGTTAAAAGAACTCTTAGTTTCGCATAAATTTTGAATACGTTATATCGACTTATTCAAAATTTAGAGCACAGGAAGGCAGTCAGGCACAGAACATTCTTCTTAGGAGAAAAATAACAAATCATTCTTCACTAATCTTAATCAAAAGAAAAAGAAGGCCGTATGCGAAATGCATTTTGATCTAAGCATTATCCGTTTGAAAGCTGACAAGTGTTGACGGATCTTCAACATAGTCAAACTCACACTGATGATGCTGATGAAGTCACTAATGGATTGACGACACTGATGATGCTGATGAAGTCACTAATGGATTGACGACACTGATGAACAAACACTGATGGAGTCCTGAAACTGTTAAGGTTATACTGGTAGATCTATAGAATTTTACGTTTCTAACATCACGAAAGTTTAAAATATCCAATGTTCACATACCGTATCTCCCGTTTCAGCCCTTTCTGCATTAGTTTGGACGACTGCTACACATTTCTATTCGAATTTCAAACCGAGCACAATCAGAAATGGATAGTCCTGCCACAACTTGACTGTCTGAGGCTAGTCCTGAGCCCGAAAAGTAATTTGTAAGAGTTTTTCAAAGGTATAGAATAAAATATATTATAATAGTAATTTTATTCGTCTAATATCATTTTTGAAAAGCTGACCACTTGTCCAGGGCATATGCTCAAGAACCCCGGGTCCAACGGTCTAGAAAGCAGCTATCAGGGCACTGCCGAAGATAGCTCTAAGGGCTGTTTGTGCCGCCGAGTTTAGTTTAGTTTAGTTTTTAATTTCAATATTATTATTAGTAAAGTTACATCGAAATATCTATAAGCGATTCAAAATAATTTTCTTTCAGATTGATAACAATATATATGGCGGCATTTTTGCGATTGACAGTCAAAGCATTTTAAGAGGATATTTCTAATAAAAAAAGCACGAACAAATATAAACAATAATGCATTTTTTTAAAGTATAGAAAGTATAAGCATGTTTTTTTCCCTTTCAGTATGCTCGAGAATTATAAAGAATGCAACAGGAAGGTCATGATAACAGAATGTGGCGAGGAAGCAGCTATCTTCATTGAAAAAGCATTTATCATAGCTTTTGCCGATCTTAACATAACCCTTTGTGCGGGCTTCTATCCAGACTCTACGACCTGTCGGATGTACTCGACTGCATCATCTGTAATTCAAGGATTTTACTATGTTCCTCTCGCTCTGTTCATGTTGATTAGGCAAATTTACTTCATGTCGAATCAATAACTATTTAATGGATTTCTAGTTCTTTTTATCGCTGTACGTTATCTTAATCGAAAGTAACAGATTATGCTGCTTGAGTCCTGATACTATAGCACCTACATTGGTGTTTTACATAGTAGCTTTGGTAATACTTTTCATCTTTCATGAATCTTCAGAACATATATCTACATGAGCTTGAACTTATATATATATACATATATTTATTCTGCTGATAAGTCAAATCAAGCACACAAAGTCAAATTAAACACCTTTCCTCTTTCCTTACATGTGAGACAGAGACGAACATAAATTTGAAGACTGATGTATAAGGGCCCAGAGATGTTCGATAGCGAAGAAATCTCAGCTCTTTAAATCTTTTCTACATATTATAATTATCAATTACTACATTATCTCGAAAGTTTTCTGATCAGGCGTGTGGCATCAGACAAATTCCGCTGAGTGCACCATGTGCTGTCCACTGGTATGCAATTTTCTGCAATGCAAACAAGATTCGTAACAAATCACTGAAAGACTAAGGTCGATTGCTTCAGCAATGTACTTCAGCAATTTGATGTTTAATGATCTTATTTTAATCTTATAAGCTCAGTAGAGAATCAGACTTTTTGCCCAAAATTATCTAGTTAAACTGAGTAACTCAGTTTTCAAAAACCCCAAGCCAAGTAATAGAATGCCACTTTCATTAGGCTTCTATTTTATTTAATCCTTCCACTAGTGAAAGTATTAAACTACATTCTTCAAAATTTGTGTCCATCATTTACGAATTTCGCATAGTTTAGAATCAATCAGCCTGTTAAGATGTCGGGAGTGTATCTTGCATCTTATATATGTTTTAAAACTTTTGATCTTGAAGAATTAACTTGCAGTTTCTGATGCTATGAATTCGGAAATTAATGGTATGAATTCCTTGCATGTACGTGTGTTATCTGTCCAATGACATGTTTTTATTTGCAACAAGTGCGTTAAAAATAAAGGTGTTGAAGTCAAAAAGACATTTGATTACATTTATTTCACAAACATCAAAAAACGACTAAATGCTATATATGAGATTTTCTAATTTTTGTTTTTAGATTAGAGTTTAAATTATAATTTTTGTAGAGATCGGAAAAAGTTGAAAGAATAAATACATTTTGAAAAGCTATTTTTCAGAAAATATTGCGACCTTTCGTTATGTAACTGAAAGCACATCCGGCTGGCAATCAGTGGTCCTTAATTTAAATCCCAGAGAGGGCGTTATTGATTTTTCATGTTTCTTGCTCCAAAATAATACTGATGACCCTACAAGCGGCTCCCGATCTAAAATATGGTGCACGATAATTCGTGAACATCTGAATTTGGTAACTGGGTTCTCTACTCGCCAGTCACCCTTAAATTGGAGGAAGAATGTAAGGAATGTTCTCCTTGCTTAACGCATGTCTTCCTGATGTAATTAGAAAAAGCACGTCCAGCTAGCAGTCAAGAGCTCTGGAGTTAGGATCTTGGTGAGAGCACTACTGATTTTCCCCGTTTCCTGCTCGTATCACGAGGGCTATCTGCATGAAGGGAGGGATGCCTTCGTGGAGGACTTTCTAAGGGAAATTAGCTCGTATACACGTAACACATGGGGAAAACCACGATAGCGCCCATGCAGCCATCCCGTTTGCGGGATTAGAACCTCGGACCGAACTGACCGAACTACCAGTCTTCAGAGACTTTACCGCTCGGCCGCTGGTGGGCCTAGAACTTCTGAGCGCTACTATTTCTGCTCGACTAGCTTCGTTCATTTTGAAAGAGTTTAAAGTACAAAATGTTTGTTTTTGAACTGATTCCTCAACTGTACTTTCCTGGATACGAAGAGATGTAGCGTGGTATGTGTTTGTTCATAACAGAGCTATGGAAATAAAACAACTTACTTCAAGGGATGCCTGGTGCAAGGCCATCTTGATAGGAGAAGGCCGAAGCTAACGTTTGATGACGTCACAGCCAAGATGATCTTGGGTCAGCTTGCTTTAATTTTCGAGATAGTATATGAGAAACAAACATATTTTTCTCTTCGTACAGGCATTATTAAAAAAAATACTGAAGAACTCAGTACCGATCTTTTACACTTAGACTGTAGAGACATTAGGTATTTTTTTAAAAGCATGAGAGATGAAAAAGGAGCAATTCCTTCGCCGGGACTCGAACCACCGACCTCTCGAATACGTTTCGAGCGTGCTGACCGCTACATCACGAAGGCATGCTAAGAAAGCGGGAGAAATACCTTATAAACGCCCCCTTTTAAAGGGCAACAGGGGATTAGGAAACCCAATTGCCAAATCCTGCTGTTGGAGAATCATCATCCACCACATTTTTTCCACTGCAGAGACATTAGGTTATTTTGGATGCAGGAGACGTGAAAAATGAGCAACGCGTTCCCCGTGGATCGAACCACGGACCTCTCGAATAGGCATCGAGCGTGCTGACCACTACACCACGAAGGCATGCTAAAAAGGAGGGAGAAATACATTATAAGACAACGGGACTGCATCTGAGGGGAGTTTCTCAAATAATATTAATTTTTGCTTGCTAATCAATAACATTCTTTACAATACTGTATCTTTGGTTACATAACATTACATGTAGTTTTATAGCAACAAACACTGTAAAATCAAATAGTTCTACTCCAGTTAAAATGAATATTATACCAAATATTTAACCATCCAAACAATACAAAAAACTATATTTTTGCTTTCTCAAAAAAAAAAAAAAAAAAAAAAAAAAAAAAAAAAACGTTACCCAGAAATTCGAAAGCTGCAAAAATTTATATTTCACGTTTAGTCAAAGGATTGACATTCAACAGAAAGTCATGCTTCTTTAGATAAGTTTTTTCATTATTTACATATAATTTTTTATATCAGATAATTTTAAGATAAAAATATATTACTTTTTAATTTATTGGAGAACATTGGAACATAACGGTAGCAGAAACATGGAATATAAATGCATTCCATTTCTTCATTATTTGATTTACACATAGATTTCACTCGTATAAAATGAATACAAATTTGAGGCCATTATTTTGATGTAACTTCATACTATACAATATATTGTTCTAATTTCATCGAATTTTGAAATTCACAAATGCACGCAGAAACACACACACTCACACACATATATAATATTTTCCAGAATAGTAAATACACGTATATTATTAAACAAATTAAAATCTAATATACTTATTACTTCATACTGCATATCAAAATAAAATCATTCTCTAGTTATTTATCACTGAATAATTTTCACTAAATAAAATAAATAAAAAACTTTTTTATTTACACTCGGTGCTCAATAAATATTCAAAACATATTGATTCTTTTTGTTATTCATAGACACATACAGAAAGATGTTCAGTGTAAAAATTGCAAGTAATTAAAGAAATTCTCAATATCATAACCAAACACTGTTTTATAAATTTCAGAAATTACATTTGACGGAAGTTAATATAAAGGAATAGTAATCAGCCTAACATAATTAATATTTTTATTGTAACATGCTATGAATAAAACGTTATAACTATAGCATTAACTTTATTAATGTATACTTACCGAAACATTTTCAACAAGAGACTCCAAATTGCTAATATTAAATTACTGTATTAATAAAGATTGATTTTTCCTTTTCTGAGATTTTGCTTGATTTTTAAAACGATCATTACGAACTTTAGTATAATTATTCAATAAAATATTTGAAACTGATGATAATAACCGTCGTAATTTACCAATTTTCATTTTACATGAACATATTAACTGTGATCATATTAACTATATAGAACATATTAACTGTATAGATTCACGAGATCTAAGTTTTATTCAGAAAGATGTATCAATAAAAGTTTTTGGTTTTTAGCACATAGAAAGTCAGTTTTATAATGCTTTGAAATAAGTCCCTGAAATACTTGAAATGTAACTGCAATAATATATGCAACAAATTCAGTAGTCCACAATAACCCCCCCCCCCTATCAATGAACTCCAAATAATCTTAAAGATAATTTTCGCATTCTAAAGTCTTATCAGAAAGTAGAATATTTTTGCATTTTAAACAATTTGATTTATTAGAGACTTTTCGAGCCACATATTCACCTGTATAAATTTATACTTTCATATCTTTTTCCGTTACTTTAAATGTGTGTGAAAGGGAAATAATTTCCTTAAACTTTTCAGCGCTACATTCAGTATTATTGTCTAAATCATCATTATCCGTTTGTAATGTCTTTATTGTGAACTCCCCGTTTTTTGAAAAATTCAGCTTCATCTGCAGATTCTTTTCAGAGTCTAAAGCTTGATTCAGTGAAATATGCTAATTTTCACCACTCATTTAGCGATATTGCCCAAATCTTGCCTCCAAATAGTCTGTTTGAAATTTTCCATGCAGTACATACTGGAATTTTAAATTGTTTAATAAATAACCCGAAAGGTGAAATAAAGTTGTGGTTGTATGTTTCAACGCATGAAATGTTTCTCTGGTGAGTCGACCAACAGTTTTTCCGGACTTTTCCCTCCCATCACCATTCCATTTTATCAACCACGTGCAAAAGGTTTCGAGAAATTTAATTTTATTGTCATTAATTGAAATTATTGATTCTCAATTCGGATCAGCTAAATGTAGTCTTCCCGTGGATGTTTAACATTGATAATACTCCACCATTTCAAAATTATTTCTATTAAATATTTTGTTCCTCTAACAGCTTCTCTAAATCCTGTTTTGTTTTCTTTTAATTTGATATGTGATGCTGTAGCAGTCTTTTCATCAAAAAATTTAACGGCAGCAGAAACATTCTGCCGTTCTAAAGAATTTGGATATGATACTTTTTTCAGAAGAGCTGGAGCTATTTTTATAGAATGGTGCTGCTCTATGGTATAAAATTTTTCCAGATGCAATAGACTTGCACAGTAAAGTTTATTATCTGTATCATTAAAAGATGAAATATTAAAAGTTTGATTTGTTTCAGTTTGGTTTAAGCAATTATTCCTTATACATTTCAATAAATGGACTGAATCAAATAGTAAAAATATCTTTTTTTCCAAACAAAATTCATTTTCAATAGCAGACACCATATGACCATTGCATAGTATTTCAAACATTTTACGGTTAACATAGTTGTTGTCGGAAATTATGGAAGCATCATCGAAGCCACAATTATGAACAAATTTTAACGTCTGTAGAGTTTGAATTTTTAAATCGTTTGGCTTGAGATTATGGACTTTGCAATAACTTCTTTATCTGAAGGTAAAATTGAAGAAAGCATAAAGGTTTGAATTGTAGAAGCTTCTTGAGACATGTCTGTACATGACAAATCTTCAATTTTACCATTCTTACATGCAAAAGTAGATTTAATATAAATCAAGTAAAAGATTCACAACCTTATCATAATCTGTTATGATGTACTTTCAGAATACTTTTGATGAATTTCAGTTACAAAATTCAGAATTTCTTCGACTGTTTTTGAGGTTTTCTTATAATTGCACCAAATAATTTTCAAATTTTGACCATTTATTACATAATAGATCTTTTTTCGAAATCCATTGAAATGTATTTGTTATGCTTAAACTTTCATGAAAAACAAAAACAGTTAAATCATGCTCAACTTTAAATAAAACAGTTACTGATGAGCAACCTTCCATCTCAATACGCAAAAAAAAAAAAAAAAAAAAAAAAAGTATATAATCAGATGCTTTCATTATTGCCCATGTATTTGATAACTTATTGTAAAATTTCAAAAATTCTGAAAAGGAGGCAATGTTATCTGCATCACACAGTTTTTGAAAAGTAATTTCACACCGTTCCTTTATTTCTCTTGTCCTGTTTTATGATGTCTTTCGCTTTAGTGCTAAAAGATAAGACAAATATTTAGGTTGACTGTAAAGTAGTCGGATATGCATCTTTTGATAAAACTGGCACTTTTCTTTGAAGTGTTCATACAGTCCCATCAGGACGTGTTATCGTCTCTTATAATAAAACGTTCAACAAAATGCAAAATGCACGCACAAGCACATGATGATGGCGCAAAGTCTTTCCTATTAATTTTACTAATCCATGTTTTAGACAGTAGGTCATCTTTGGAGAACTTAAAAGTTGTAATATGTTCTTCATTTGGATAGTAACCCGGAAATCTACAATTTAACAGAATCTGTAAAAATTCAATTAACATTGTAGTATGCACCTTAAATAATAACTAAAAGAAAATATTACAGCAAATTATTTAATGCTACATAATTAATATGCTGTAGGCTATAATTATTAATACGCTATCCTGTTTAATCTTATTGAATGTACAAAATATATGTACGAGTTCGAGCTCAATGTTTTTTAACTTTCAAGAATTTTTATTATTATTATTCCTGTCTTGTTTAGAAGAAGGAATTATTCTAATAAAGATTCGTGTAATTTTAATAAAGATTCGATTCATGTAATTCTAATAAAGATTCATTACGAGATTCGTGTTTGATACATAGTTTGAAAATGAAAGGTACAAGAGAAATTTACTAGATTATTATATTATTTAATATGAGTGCTTATAGAGTCTGTCTCTCTTGTTCCACATAAACTAAAATAGACCCTATAATGACTTGGTGAATTCTCGCACAGGCGTGAATAAAACTACTGACTCAGACGAAAGTTAAAACTAACCCTTTATTAATTCAAACTAGTTAACAGAAAAGAACGGACTTCGTACGTTACAAAGACACCATCAACTTGCGATGGAAACTAAAATGTGGAATATAATATAATTCAAACCCTAAATAAATAGCGCAAGAGCGCACTTACGTTAAGCTTAAGAGGTGGACTCATAGGAATCTAACCGGCGTGATACTAATCTGATAAGGCCAAGAGGCTTACTAGCGTGACCGCGAAATAACAACGAAACGTGAGCTTGGCTAGCGAAACACACTCTGAAAAACTCAGATATTCACTCGTTTAAATAAACACTTCACTTTAGAATAGGTACCAAATTTAAAATAAATTTTTTATAAAATAAGGAAAATTCTACATGCTTTTCACTTGTTGTGGCATATGTAATAAAAATGTATTAGAACATGAATAAAAATGGGAGGGGGAATCTCTTTAGCTTGACTTTATCATGCATCAAGAACTAATTTTACGAAGTACAGGTCGAAAAGAATTAATAAAGGAAAACAGTAAATTAAACTAGTAAATCAACTTTTGCTACATCTTGCTAAAAGTTAAATTTACTATAGTTAAGGGATAGTTAATGTTACATACCTTCTAGGTTAATTATACGCTGTGTTTACACTCATACTGTTTGAAGATGGCCTTAGTACGATTGCCCTCGTTCGTAACGTCACACCAGGAGAAAAGCCGTTTGGATTCGGCCTTCTCCCTTCAAGATGGTCTTGCCTGGAGGCACATCCCAAGAACAATAAACTCTGCTGATTTGCCCAGTGGAGGATATTCTGCCAGCTATTTAGTCACGTCCCAGTGGTGGGAGGGACCGGAATGGTTATATTTACTAGCATTTAGTTCCTTCTGACAGCCAAACGTGTTGTGTGCGTACAGGTTCTTAAGAGACTGAATACACAAGTCCGATAAAATGTTAATAAAACTTATTCTTATCAAAAGAAATATAACAAAAAGCTGAAATTTTCCTCAGAGGCATTCGTACAAGTACACAATATCACGCAATATAATCATATATATATCATCCATATAAATATATATCTGAAGTAGGTTTTTCAGAACTTTGTCTTGTTTCCAATATCAACATATGTGTTATTCATTCGAGTATAAGTTTGCTGCCGAAGTAGCACATGACGTAGCAAAGACGTTGCAAACTGGTCCGAGAGGTTGCAAAGTGGTCGTAGTAACGTCTTTGCTACGTCATGTGCTACTTGGGTGTGCACTTTAAAAATATACCCTTAAATTAAAATTAGAACATATGCTATAATTGAACATATAGTTTATAAATGAAATGTATCCCACATTTGAGGACTTAAGTCCCATATGCACTAAATGCACCAAATGCCCATATCCCATATGCACTAAAGAAATTCAGTAGCATTCTATTCAGGAAGGAATTCAGTAACATTCTATTCAGGAAGGAATTCAGTAGCATTGTATTCAGGAAGAAATTCAGTGTTTTACTTATGCAATTTATGATTAAACAGGAGACGTGTTCTTAGTGAATTTCACTGCTGATCTTCAGTTTTCCCCTTTGTTATCGTTTCAACACTCGCAGCTTTTCACTGCTTTCATATAAATAGTGCAAGTTAAAAGCCCTCAGAGAAGCGATTTTTTTCGAAATGGAAAAGTAATATTGATAGAATTTGAAGCCTTTTTTTTTTTTTTTTTTTTTTTTTTTTTTAACATTCATTTTCCAAAGAAACCATTTAACATACTTTCTGATACATAACCGAAGATTTGAATTTCACAAATCAGTATGGTACACGGGAAAATATAAATGCTGCATTGAAATTAGAGCTTATATACTCAAGTGATATCCATGAATCAAATATAATAATTCTCGATTTTTAGATTAACATCACGGTTATTAATCTTTGAAAACTATTATATCTTTTTTTATTAGTTTTGCTTATTCTAGTTATTATGATGCCATTACATACAAATATAAGCTAGAAACTGAAATGAAGTTAATATCAACTTAATGTGATATATATGCACTTAATGTGAAAATGCAGATGTATACGTATTTAAAATTTTACATCATACCCACAATAAGTCTTGGGTATGGTATCAAATTCTATGTAAATTACTTAATAAAAAACACTGATGAATAACATAATTGAAAGTACTAATTTATTAGAAAACATTTACGAATACAGAGATATATCGATTACATGAAAGGATATCACTAATATTTGACCTTTCAAAGTAACAGTACTGAGTCTGTTCAATATGGGCCTTATTGTATCCTTTAGACCAGGGTTTCTTAAACTGTGGGTCGCGATCCCCAAGGGGGTTGCGGGACCTGCAGCAGGGGGCCGCCAAAAATTTTAGCAGTTTTGATATTTCTTTAGCTTATAATTTTACAATTACCAAATATTTTTACACAATGTATTTGAAAATAAATAAAGACAAGACAATACAGACAAAGTAAAAATGAAAACGTTTCGACGCATTCTTTTTATAATATAAACGTTCATTTTCCTTGCTTTGCACGGGTCGCTGTCATTTCGTCTGTTACTTATTTAAAATTTTTACATTGTTCTATGTCTTAAAATTAAAAATTAATGTTCTAAAACTGCAATAAACAACAAGTGAAAAAATTGACAGTTTCACTCAGGTGTGTCGGATTTCCGCAAAATTTATGGGGTCCCACAAAATTTTTGTAAATATTATGGGGTCCTGGGGGTCGCGAAAAAATCTCAGTAATAAAAAGGGGTCACGATTGAAAAATGTTTAAAAAACCCTGCTTTAGACCACACCACTTCCCAACTGTCTATGTTCTTAAGAATGGAAAGCTTTACAATTAAGGATACAAAAACAATGTGCCCAAAAAGAAACCCTAAAAAATAATGATTTGATGTAATATTTCAAGGTCGGTTTGACATACTTAGTTCCCTTTTAAGGTCCAGATCGCAAATGTGTCAGGAAGACTACTTAAGAAGCCATAGAAAAAAATGGCAACGCTATCTTTCGACTTAAAACGTTTCTTTTAGTAGATGGAATTATTATTGTATAAAATACTGCAAGGCTCAAATGCTTTAAACAAAAATCTCGGTGAAGCGAACTATTCAAGATCAAGGGCGTTGCCATTTTGAAAAAATAAAAAGAGGAATGCGACGTTCCGGAGAGAAGACAAAGTATATCGGAAGAACATAGCGCAGCAGAGCGTCTAATGAAGACCGTTTGTCTCTTTTCCACTGAATCTGAATCTTCAATGACCGCTGTTTCTTACTTGGATGAAAAGAGTTGCGAAAAAAAAACGCGTAATTTGCTGTTGACCCAACTGACCGGCTTCTCTCTGTTGGGTGCTCTATAAAGTAAAACGCATGTCATTTCACCGCAGTTACTCTTTTAGTTCCATCCATTTAAAGACAGATGTGATGTCGTTTCTCATAGGTAAGTGATTCATATACAGTGAAACGCTATCTAAATCTGATTTTTTAGGTGTGAGCTTGCTGGATGTAGCTAAGATTAAGCAGGAAATATTTTATTGCGAAGATGAAATTTTAAGAATATATAAGTGATTATAAAGTAGGAATACATTTTCATTGGAATGAAATATTAGTATTTAACCTTCATAAATGCCAGTGAGTATTTTCCATATTTCCAGTGTAAGAATATTATTAAAAATGATAGAATTTAATTTCTTCATCTATATTAATATATCTTTGCATTTTATGTTTCCTACTTGACTGTTAATTATTCTTATGCTTTTGATAATTCCTCATTTTGTATGGTAGTCTTTATGCTACTACCAGTGCTTAAAAATCTGAAAAAAGTAAATGACGCTTGACCTGAAATCTCTCCTGAAACGTTATACCATAACAATATGTGTAGCCTAGTGTTTGAAAATATATCATTTCTATCTTATATTTGGTATTAAAAAGAAAGCCTAATTACAGTTCAAAGCACAATGCTCACATCTTTAATTTTGTCTTTCAAAGAACGTCAACGAAAAGTATCATGCATGTAATCCGATTTTCTTCTTGGAAAACACCTGTAAAATTACAGAATATACGGGAAAGCTTCTTACAAAGGGCCAATATGACGCAGAGATATTGATATATGTCTATGTTCACTACAATTATTTACTTGCTCAGAACTTTGTGTTAAATATAAATAATTATCCACATTTTTGTTAATACTTCTCAATGTAGATTCATTAATATAAAAAGATGAAGACTTACTTGGTTAAGATGGAGCATTATAACCAGTTTTGATAAAAGTTACTGTGCGATTATGATTCTGAGCGACTACTTCAGGATCTGAGTCCCGAAATTTAGTCGAGAATATAATTTTCTCAGAGAATAGCTGATATTCTTGTTAAGAAAGATTTGATTTAACTTCTTGTAAATTACAACTGGTAACGTTTGAAAATCATCTGATCTGTTATCAATTCAGAATAGCAGTGAGAATTTGCTCGTATGTAAATATGCGTACTGTTGACTAACCAATCTTAAACGGAAGCAGTTTACAATACGAATAATAAATTGTTCACGAAGTTTATGCACATTTATTGGTCATTTTTATGCACTTCAAATGGTCACTGTTTAACCTATCAATGGTTGATCAGTAAGAAATATTAAAATAATATTGAGACAGACATCTAATGTTTCTATTATTTTTCCTACAACGTCTAGTTAAATTACGATATTGAGCTATAGAAAACTAAACATATTTTTAAATCTCAATTTTAATCTCAGTCTTCCTCTCTGTTTATGAGATATTCGCTGGCGTTCCAAGCTGTATAATATGACGGATACCATTGCTACCAAGCGATCAATAATTTTTTCGGTGGTCGACGCAGACTAATTTCACCATCATAAAAGTCAATTTTATTAGTGGTCTCAAACTGACGGCCCGCGAATACATTTTAAATTTATTAGAATTATAATGGCATTATTTATTATTATCATTTTAAGAAAGGTTTCATATTTCAATGATTTTAAATCCAGTTTTACATTATTTTTTTCATTATCATTAAAAGTGAACAGGAGTGATGTCCCAAAAATTCTTCAAATGGAGCTAATTAATTTATACTGTAATATAAATATTTGGTTTGAATCTTTGATCGATTTGAACAATTTAAAGACACAAATTTGATTAAACGTTTTTCGTACTTGTCAAATGATAAATATTTTCAGTATCAGAGAATTAGTAATTTTAAACCTGATTACTAATTACTAATTTTAAATCTCTGTATATTTTCCCTAGGGAATGGAGGAAAAAAGTACTATATATAAAAAAAAAGATTACATTTGGAAACAGTTATACATAGCAAATAAAAAATATTTATTTCTTTCAGTATGAGTACACTACATTAAAAATTACTTTCTAACAAAAATATCACACATTTTCTTTTGCTTCTCTGTTGTATTTTGCATCAATTAAAATAAACGACTTTTCGAGTCTTCTTTTTAGATTCTTCGTCGTTTCCAATAGACCGCCTTTTGTAAAACGAAGTCTGTATGAAGCTTGCTACTATCTTCTTTCTCCATACTCTTTACAGACTCAGATTAAAAACTAACCCATAAACTCCTAAAAGCTAATAGAACTGAATTAAGGAAAGCAGAAAAATTAAACCTTTTACAACTTGAAATGAAAAAAACATTCGGAAACTTCGGAATACTCAGGAAATAACTTCGACCGTAGAGCGAAATATTACAAAAGACGTCTGTAGAAGTTCCTTATATCTACGTATTACTGTATTTCCATTTAGAGTAACACGAATAATAAATACCTACATCACTTTTCTCCCGAATGGGGGGGGGTTATGTGGGAAATAGTGACCTAATAACATGATTTTCAAACAATTAATATGCGTAAACAATAGGTTTGGAAATAAAGGATTCAGTAATAAATAACCTTATTCATACAGAATTTATTTGGGATCGAAAATTGTAAGAGATGCATACGGGAAGACGACTGTTGTGCGAGTTACAAATTAGAATTTTACCGAAGCATTAAATTTAACAAAAATGCAATTAAAAAAAGAAATTTTTAAGATCAAAATTTGTAAAAAAAAAAAAAAAAAAAAAAAAAAAAAAAAAAAAAAAAAAAAACTGAAACGTAAAATATGTTAAAACAAGCATTATTAAATTAGTAGCTGATCATAAAACTAATGTCTTTCAATTACATTATTTTGATGTGATTGCGAGCTTTAACTGTGACTGAAAAATTTGCTCAAATATTTTGAAGTTAAAAGAAGATATATAAAATTTACATAGCATTTAATTGAAAGAGACACACCCAGGTTAAAATTTTAAATTAGATAAAAAAAAATCAACAGAAAGTAGGGCATAAAACTCTATCGATTTCGAAAGCTATGATGCATTTGTCTAAAATTTGATAACAATTAAATGAATTAATGTTAAATAAAATTTTATTAAATTAAAAAAAATTAGAGTTTTTTATGAAATTAAAATTATTTATGAAATTAAAATTAATTTTTATAGCAGTCCCTCACAGTTTTTGAAAAAAAATTATCACTATGATGTTGATTGTAAGAATTAACCAGCTCTGTGAAGAGCAACTAGATAAAGCGGATTATTCCGTCTGAGCGACCCAGGTTTTTAGATCTGTCATGAAAACTTGCATTTAAAGAGCCTTTATTAGCTAAATATGTATATTTACTGTATGTTTACCTATTTTAGTCTCTATTTTCATAAGATGGCATTTATATTATTAATGAAAGTAAGAAAGCAAAATATCTTAAATTATAAGCTAATATATAACAAGTGACAAAAAATCTCATGACCGTATAAAGCCGGTCATTGCGTTCGGAGGGTATTTAGACCATGTTAAATCATTACCAAATTTATCATTTGCTTTTACCATAAAACCCGCCAATTTCCAGTTTCTAAAATCTATTGCATTCAACTTTTATCGATTGTAAAAAAAGTTCTGTATCTCTAAGATATCTTTTCTACCAAATACACTCGAATACAAACTAGTTTCCCTTAGCGAGTCCTCTGTGAAAGCCTAGGTTTCCCTTAGGTAGATAGCCCGTGAGAACTTTAGTATAATCTGATAAATTCTAACTTCTAAATCTATCCAATACCTGTCTTATGAAGTTATTCATTATGGGATATAGACTTACGCTTTACTGTCCTATTTAATCACAGCTAAATTCGCCTTAAATGTTTACTTTGCTAATCGGTATTGTGGTTAGAAACCCTGGTTAGAAACTCGGATTCAAATCTCGGAGATGGCATAGATATTGATAAATGTGTAGTGTTTGTGAGGAATGAAGGCATTTAAAAATCGGCGAATCGAAAGTACTCTTCAGAGGTTTGATGGTAAGGAGTGAGGGATAAGAGAATCTCGGATCCGTTCTTTAGGTTATTCTTCATCAAAATTGGATTAGTGTACAGTTAGTGTGCTGAGAATATACTTACATTGAAGTTCTGTTGTTTCATTCATTTTTTCCGTTCTGTGATAAACTTTATTTAAAAATAGATACTAATGGGTGTTTATGTTTCAAAAAGATGTCTTTCCACAGAATTTTCAAAAAAAGAAAAATAAAATAAAATAAAATAAAGCACTGAATCCGTATTTATACCTTAAATGAGATTAAAATCATGTTTTTACTTTGAGTGCGACAGAAATGTTACTGTATGTGTAAACAGTTAGAAATATTATATTTTATCAAAGAGGGGTTATTCTTTGTTGAAAAACAATTTTTAGTTTGAATAGTTTTATAGCTAGCTTGTAGTGTAGGATAAAATGAAGAAAATAAAAATAACAAAATTTTTTTATAAATTAAGCTTTCACTTAAAACATATAAAATAATACATGAACTAAAGGAAGGAGAATAATTTGTAGGAAGAAGTCATCATAATTTATGGTATATTTAATGGAAAAAAGGTTAAATAATTTTCTTTACAAAATTCATTTACAATTATAAAAGCATGGGCGCCTAAATAACGAAATCTAATAATTGCATTGTCAAAAAAAGGAGACGCCACTGTAGAGCCTTTAGGTTATTTAGCAGCACGAGACAGGAAAAGTGAGTAATGCCCTCGCCGGGACTCGAACCTGGATCTCTCGAATACGCGCCGAGTGTGCTAACCCTTACACCAAGGCAGGCTAGAAGGAGGGATAAAATACCTTATACATTGTTTTTATCAGTTTATCCAGGATGCCTTTTATTCTTATATGTTGATAAATTCTACATTTTTTGTTTTATAAATGACTGAATTATATTGTTCTTATGTTCCGTTTAAGGTTTTAATGCCTTTATTTAATCTGCATTTAACTGTTGTAAAACTATCATGCATTTTAAAAGTTGTTAAAAGTGCTACTAAGCCTAACTAAACGGATTTTTGTTTACATTTAAAACTTGTAGTAGAATAGTGAATTAAGCCAGTTTTTGCACTAAGTTCAGTGCCCTTTTTGACGAGTGGGACAAAAAGTAACTTTCAATTTTATGCACCGAAAAATCTGTTTTTTTGCCCGCTGGGGGAATTTCTTTTTTTGGGTAGAAATTCTAATTTTAATTGCAAATTTTTTTAACTGTATTTCATGTTTTATGTTTTTCTATATTTTACAATATTTTATGAAGATGTTTTGAGTTTTTATGCATTTTTAGCTTGCCGAAAAGTGAGAACTAGACTGATTAAATAAGAAAATATCTCTAATGAAATCCGAGGAAATAAATTTAATGAAAATGAAATAAATGAAATGCTGTAAAAAGTGTGCATAATTTAATAGGCCGTTCAAGGAAGTCATGCGATGACTACATCCAATTCTTTTATTTGAGGTTGATAATGAAAACAGAGCATATGTCTGTTGCTGTGCAAGCTGATAGTGGAATGAAGGTATATATAAAATAGAAGAATATGATGCTTTTTATTAGCTCAGATTTAATTATTAGCAAAAATCATCTTACATTTAAAAGGCGAGAATAATGCAATAAGTGAATACGTAAATGCAAATCGCATTTAACTTATATATAAGCATCTTTTTAAATACTTAAAGAGGATAGAAAACTTTACCGTAAAGACGAACAGAATTTTTCACTATAACAATATATATTATAATAATCTAGTTATGTAAATGTTTTTCTCTAAAGTTCATGTTTATTTTAAGGTTTACAGGTATTCGTTACAATACTGACTTGTGTTTTGGCCACCAATGCCACCGGAGCTGAAAAAAGGGAATCGTTTCTAAAGTTTTCTAGACAGCCACATTGTAAGTATATTGGTTTGCAATATAATTCGTTCATCATTATATAATGTGGTACAATTTGTGTCTTATAATAAATGAGTACCTTTACAATAGTAATTTTGCGTATATTGTATTTCTTACGGTGCATTCGTGTAATATTATGTACACCAGCCCACCGAACTGAGTTGTCTGAACATTCTACATGCCCTCTTTCTCTGCAAGGCCTATTACAATTAACTTACCGGCATATTTGGTTTGCATCCCATGGAGATACCTGGCGGATATAGCACAAACGTAAAGTTGGAAGACGGTACCAATAATGGGACTTTTAGCTGGAAAAGCTAATTAAAACCAGTGGACGGCTACCCCATTATTAACGGAAATGAAAAGAAAACGTTACAAAGATCTTTTAAACGGGGTAGGAGAGGGAAATGTTGTTCTTATGTTATGCTTATTGATTCTGCCTCATAAACTGCAGGAAATAATTGATATTTAATAGCATTATTCTAAAAAAGAACAAATAGGAAAAAAATTCTAGGATGTTCAACACTCGTTTATTATCTCCTAATTTTTTGTTTCCAGCTCCTCTTTCATTTGCTGTTCCTTTGCAGCCCAAAGGAGCGTTAGCTCGGAAGAGCTATTAGTCTCAAAATAGCATTTTGCGTTGAATCAGTAAAAGCGCTGAATCACTTTTCAAATTGTTGCCACCAAATATTATCACTTTGTATTGTATTTAAGGAAACTAAATAATGAAGAATCAGCATGCATGTATGCATGTTTCTAGCACTGTGAAAAACAACGGTACCTAGAGTCATCAAATTTTAAATAATGTAATCCTCCGCTTGAATATGTGCACTTGGAAGCCCGAATTTGGAATCCAGAATTGTTTTATTATCTATTTCATATTTTGTAAAACTTTAATGCTTTTTTTATTAACAAACTCGACGATTTCAAAGCGAGCAGTGGCAACACTGTGCGGAAATAAACATTTTTATCTCCAGCGCACGAGACTGTTTATCGGAAACACTAAAGCAAGACTGTCTATCGAAAACTCTAAGGATATGCTGTTTTTAAATATTTTGTGATATTGCTGTTGAATTGAATTTTGTGCGGTTTAAGCGCGAAGAACATGATGTTTAATAAATTAAAGTAACACACAAAAAGTTAAAAAAACGTCTCTTTGGGGGTAATATAAAATCTGAAGACTTTATCATTACTTTTTTCTTACTTAAAGTTTAGTTGCTAATACTGCTTGTTGAATACGAATTTCTGGCCTTCTGTTTAAATACCATATTTTTATTATGAAGATTTCATAGTATAGTACTAAAATATTTTCAGTTATATTTATATTTAGGCAAAAAAGCAACCTTAGTTTGGCATATATTTTGAATAAAACTGTATCGCTATCGTAAACGATCACACAAAGGGCCATCTTCTTCTGTAATAACCATCTTTAGCTGAAATTCAGCAAAAGTATGGGTCGGTGTCTAATTCTCCTCGATATCAATACAGTTTGATTCAAACTAAGATTTATTTTTTGCCTAATTTTAAATTTTATGTTGAGGTGTTTCTCTTCCAGTTTGGTTCAGTGGCATATAATTTATATCCATGAACTCTGAGACTACTTATAATAAATATGTGATATTATTCTGACTGTGGGACTTAAGGTTAATTTGGAAATTAATTAGTCCATATATTTAGAAGGTTGACAATAACTTTTACATCTAAGTTGTACAGTTGTTTACATCTAAGTTGAGGTTTATTGACGCAGAAAACGTGTAAAATCTGCAGTGTTCTCGCAAGGATTCTAATATCAGACTTCCTGACTGCCAGACGGACGTGCTATAGAGTTAGACCACGAAGGAACGCAGAAAGAAGGAAGAAAATACTTTACACAGTTATTGGTTACTGTTTTCTTGATTACATTAAATGCAGCTGTGGAAGAGTTTTAGCGTCAGTATTTTTAAATTTAAGAACCTACGAATTGCAAAAAATTGCCTCTTTAATTTTTATGGATATTTAAATCATTTTAATACTTTAATTTTTATGGATATTTAAATCATTTTAATACTTTAATTTTGGCTTGTAAAATATTTAAAATACTTTTCGATAAATGATATTTCAACAGCAGAATATTATTTAAATTCAAACAGCAGAACGACAAAATCCAGCTCAACAGTTAAATACTATATTTCTTCTCTTAATCCCTCCTTCTTACAAATTTTATCATACGAGAAATTTATGCTAATAATTTAATTTCTGAAGAAAGAGAATACAAAAGAAGGCAAAAAATGAAATGGATTCGTGGATAAACCACCCCGACTATTACTTATTTAAAAGGAACCTACGTTCGAATAAGAATTCATAATGATATTAATATTACACAATATAATAAAATATCTTAATTTTTGCTTCCTTAAATCTTAAATCTCGCTCGTTCTTATTGTTATGCCCAGTTATATCATAGGGCTGAAATCTTTCAGTGCTGCTGGAACTGTATCGTCTGCTATAAGTTGCAAGTCATCTTCATCATCACTGTTTAGTCTGTCTTCCCTCCTGTAGTGATTTTCAGAATAATCAACAACATTAGATATTCCTGCTTTCTTGATGATGTTCAGTACTAATGACTCGCCAAATTAACTAAACACAACCGCTATGTGGACGAATTCATTTTAAAAATTAGGAGAGGTCGCTTTATAAATGTCTTGAAGTAGGGGAAAATTATGTGAATATTTCAGACATTTTTAAAACCTTTCCTAAAAGCCTGTGGGGGATACGAGAGTAAATACGCTAGTTTATTACTCTTTAAAATGAATACTAATTTGATTTCCAATATATATGTAGATATAGATATAGATATACGCATATAAATTTATTTACTTTTTTTAAGTATCTGGAAGTAAAGTCCTTCCCGGCCTGGAGTCAGTTATGAGCGTCATGGGTCCTCTTGCCTTAGCCGCCATGGTGTCGTTACCTTTTGTGGCTCCCGCTGCTGCTGCTTTACTGCCCTTGGCTTCTATGACTTCGGTTTTTGGCAGACGAAGAAGATATCTGGACAGTCTCAGGCAAAATCCTCTCCCAGATTCAGAGGTTCTCATGCGGAGGATTCACGCAGCGGCCATTCGAAGGAACGCCTATTGATTCACTCGTCATCTCATGAACAATTTCGCTCATAAGTACAATGATAATCAAGATCACATTCTGCCATAAAAATAATTTTGAATTTATTCTCATAATGGAAGTGCAATAAATACCTAAGGATCTGAATTATTTCTTTAATAATGCAAAAATTGTGTATTGTTACCTGAGAAACTGTTAATAAAGGTAGTAATGATCACGGTGAATTTCATGGAAATGAAAGATTAGTTTTTGTTAAATTATTTTTGAACCGATGTTTATCTGATTAATCATATTTATGCAGGTATGAACAACTGTCCGACAAATAAATGATGATGAAAATTTGTTTAATATCTTTTCCATGAATGCCTCTCCTCATTATTTTCGTATCTTCAAGGTAATTTTGTTATACAGTTTGAATTGACTTATTCTATTTCCCGTCGATAGCTATATATCACAATAAAATAACACCACACAGATTACAGAAAATAACACACTCTAACTTTCAATACATTTATTTTCCATAGCGACACGCTGGCGCCAGGTTTCTTTCTTACAGCGTAACATATGCATCGCAACTTCGACTGCACAACAAAAATCAAGTTTCTTACAGAATATATTTCAGCGCCAATTCTGGTGGCGCATGCGCTATTAGACGAGATTCTCCTCTGTCGCCAAGTATTTCTCAGCTAATACAAAACACAGTTTTCAAACAAAATTCGGTTTTACCTTTCGTAGCAATAGTTTTTATTATTGTTATTCATGGTGCTAAATATGCGTAAAATAAAAGCGATAGCTCACAAATCGAGTATAATATTTTTCTTCTGTTATTAATTATGCGCTTGTTATGTAAATAACGGATTTAAAAGATATCACATATGCGTAATTGAAGTAAATATACGTATAGTCTGTAGAGTTCTTAAATTCTTTTGAAGCAGGAGATGTGAAAAATGTGCAATGCCCTCGCCGGGACTCGAACCTGAACATCTTGAATACGGGCTAGTGCGCTACTGTTACACTACGAAGGCATGATGGAAAAGGCTAAAATATGTTATATATTCCCCCCTTTTCACATGGAAAACCCCCCCCCCCCCCCCCCCCCCCCCCCCCCCCCCCCCCCCCCCCCCCACCCCCCTTCCCACCCCCCCCCCCCCCCCCCCCCCATGGAACCCCCTAGGAAAAACCCAACCCCCCCCCCCCCCCCCCCCCCCCCCCCCCCCCCCCCCCCCCCCCCCCCCCCCCCCCCCCCCCCACCCCCCCCCCCCCCCCACCCCCCCCCCCCCCCCCCCCCCCCCCCCCCCCCCCCCCCACCCCCCCCCCACCCCCACCCCCCCCCCCCCCCCCCCCCCCCCCCCCCCCCCCCCCCCCCCCCCCCCCCCCCCCCCCCCCCCCCCCCCCCCCCCCCCCCCCCCCCCCCCCCCCCCCCCCCCCCCCCCCCCCCCCTCCCCCACCTCCCCCCCCCCCCCCCCCCCCCCCCCCCCCCCCCCCCCCCCCTGGACCTGGTGGTGATTGTGCCCACCTCAGTCCGAATTTGGACCTCTCGAGAGCTCCAAGAGAAAAAAATCAATAATGCTTTGGCCCACCTCTGGGCCTGATACAAACTGTTATCCGGTTGGATACTGATTATGAGAGCTGGCATATATCCTTCTGTGAGCTTGCTTGCCATAAGCGTTCCAACTAGCGAGTCGAATCAGAGTGATTAAAGAACGATCCAAACGTCTGTTCATCAGAGCCCAAGCGCGCTGTAGGTAGGTAGGTAGGTTACGGAGGACTGAAACGCCTGGTGTCTAACAGAGGTAAGCAGGCATGTGTTCCACGCCCTCCTCTAATTACAGCAAAAGCTCCCTGGAACCACACGAGGCTGCACAAGAAGAATATTGAGATTGTCAAAGGAAAGTACATGGCCTTACAAGGGCATTAGTAGGATTGTATTACAGATTCAAGAGGCAAACTGTGGTGTTACAGATAGTAGGTAGTTAAACTAAAAATACTTGTACAATAAGACATAAAAACATAGGCAAACAATACAAAAACACAATGCGTAAAAGCATAAACAGAGAGCACATAAACAGGTACAACACATAGTCACTTAAGGCACAAAAAGACAAATGGAGTACATGAAGTGCCATGAAAGCTGGAGCACAAGGTTAGTGTAGGACAGTTCTGTTGTATATAAATACAGATACATCTTGAATGATGAATGATGAGTTCATGAATACTCATGTGTGCAGAAGAGGGCAGTTAGCTTGCTAAGGCGTTGATTATTGTAGCGTCGCTAAGAACATAGATAAAAAACACTGATAAAAAAGTATGAGGATGTTGTAGCACTAATAATTGGGCAGAGAAGTGTTGCAGAAGCACTAAGGCAAGCAGTAGGAAGGCATGCCATGCGCGGCCGGGCATTATGTTTTGAAATGTAAGGCCAGAGATCCGTGAAAGGAAAAGGAACACTACTAGTGAAAGGAAAAGAAGTGAAAGTCCGTGAAAAGAAAGCCACACTAGAATATCATCGAAGCACCTTGTCGCCGATGACAACAAAATGTTTGGGTTCGAACCCAAGTCGAACTACCAATATTAAATGACCTTAACGACTCGGACATTGGTGCAGCCAATCTGAATTGTACTCATTTCTGATTCCTCTAGCTTATTTTATCCTGCTTTAAAACCTCTTGTAGAGTTATTTACTTCAGCGCACGCAATATGAAAAATAGGCAATATAGTCACCGGGATTCATATTCCTGATCTCCCGACTGTCAGATGGACGCGCTTACAACTATACCACGAAAGCACTCAGTAAAGAATCTCTTACTTTCTCGCCCACTTAAAGGGTGACTAGGAGAGGTTGAACTCAATCGCCCAGTCCTGTTGTGACGGATTATCGTAGGCCAGGTTTCTAAGTTTGGGAGCGAATATGGAATCACTAGGTTTATTTCAATGCAGAAAACATGAAAATCAGCAGTAACCTGGCCGGGATCCGATTTCCGGTCCTCCCGATGTTAGGCGTATGTGCTTCCAGCTACTCTACGAAGGCATGTGTGTAAGAAGGAAGAAAATATAATCGCTCCCTTCAGTACTTCGGAGGATGACCTTACACGCTTACTTTCGAAAATAAGCCAAGACGTTTTACCCTTCTATAATTCAAAAAATTTATTTTGAGCTGTGTGAATATTAATTTAAAGATCATCCGTTTCTCAAATAATAACCATCTAGAGATTTATTAAACTAAGAACCTCCATCTAATTTTGTTAAAATTTCGTATTTAACTTGTCTTGATCAAAGCAAGCTGTTTATATATCAGATATAGGAAAATGCTGTGAGGTTTATCTATTTTTAACTGATAATTCATTTTAAGTTGAAAAGCCTTTCCTAATTACTCTCTTTTCACCCACTCTTTTGATGCCAGAATGTAAATGGGATCGCGAGAGTTTATTCAGATTAAGGTAGAATGAAGAGCTATTTAAGCAAGAGTTTCGGAAGTTAGTTTCAGAGCGCATCTGCGTACTCTAGGCCAAGTTGTGCTCAGATTATTCGTGACTTGTGTTAGCAGCGTTGATGTGTCTTTTAGCGGCGTCTTTTAGGCTTGTCTCGCCGGGTTTTTTAGACCAGAGCTCTTAATGCGCGATTAAGTATTCTGTGAGCCGTTAGGCTAACATACACACCTTAAAATTACTATTTGTTACGTATTTCTGTTAAGACAGAAGTGTTCGCTTCTTGTAACCCGAGTTGAGTCATTTGTTAATTTTATGATTGACTAAAGGGTCTTATACACCCTTCTTCTGATCTCTGTTTAGTTTCACAAGTCTAGAAAAGATAATTCTTCAGAAGATCTTAAAAGTTTATGTTTCCAAAGAGGCACAAAGTTTATAATTTTGTTTTGTATCGTTTATATTGTAATGCAATTTTTGTAACTGCATCTAACTTTGAAGCCTTCCATTGTAACAAATTATTTAATAATTTCTTTAGAACACCTTTCTCTTCTTTCTGGACTATGTTGACATATTTCTTTTCACTGAACTGTACAATACAGTACATTTTTTCTGCCTTCAATTGTTCTAACACTTAAATCTTAAATGTGGAATCAAACCACTTGTTGACCATTCCCTTTATTTTCTCATCATTCCCAGGGGAATGATATTTTAGGCACTGATATTTTTTCATCATAGTTACAAATGCTGTTATTCAATTTGAAATCTATATTTATGTGTGAGACATAAGTTGATAATTAAGAACAAGCAGTAATAAAAGAGAAAATGAATACAGTCGATATGCAATTAGATTTATTATGAAGGAAAAAGAGAGTCACTCGATGCTCAAAAAACATTTTCTTTTTAAAAGGAAAATTCTTTAAAATTTTAATCTTATTTTGGGGAACGCTTTTCATGAATTAGCATATCTTATGTTAATTTTCACTGAAAAAGTAACAAGCAGCATCATATTGCTGATAAATTAATCGTCATCAGAAATCTTCTGAATTTAGCATCTGAATACTGCTTTTCTTTCCTATCTCATAATTCATGCAAACTCATCACTATGGATCGGGATGTCAGTAAGATTGGCAAATTACCTTTTTATTACCAAATTATACTTCTGCACACTTTCATACACAAAATTTTATTCCATGCTATAGTTTTAAGATAATTTAACTGAAGGTAATTGATTTATTCCAGGTATATATTCGGAAAGTGTACAATTTCTTGAGAATTGAAAAATAATAAGAATTTCTTTCCCCAAGAAAACAAAATTTTGTCTTTTCAGAAAAAGAATCTCTAGCAGATGTATGACCGCGAATAAGTGGAATTAAAACCTCGACAACTATACATTTATCCATAACATGCGCAGTTGCTAGATAGACATATATACATAAAATAATTTTCATATTTGACCAAATTAAATTCCACTTTTAAATATCCTGGCAAATTAAGCCCCTGTATGCATATAGCTAATGCTGACATTAGAACAAGGTACACGTAAGATCCAAGCATTCATGAAGTACATAAATCTTAAAACCCAAACAATGAAAAAGGAAAATAATTTAAAAAATATAATAACTAATAAACATAGTTAGTCATTTTTTACTTCCTTGTACGAAGTAAAAAGGAAGTATTGTAATCGCAAAAAGATTCAGGCAGCATATTTCAACAAAAATATCCACTTTGACCACTTTTGAATGCAATTTAACGATGTTTTTGCGTGATATCTGTACGTATAAGGACAGGATAAAGGAATCTTTTCCTCCAAAAAAACTAAAAAACTGCTTTAAAATGAATTCTGAAGAGAATTTTTCGTGGCGTCTGTACGAACGTATGTACGTACGTAGGTATTTCGCATAACTCGAAAACG